CTGACTGGTTGCCGAGCCTGACATATACCCACCTTCATAATGTTCTCCTCATGCCTGCGTGGGTTTTCTCCGGGTCCTCCGGTTTCCTCCCACATTTCAAAAACATGCATGGCACGCTGTTTGACCACTCCAAATTGTCCCTAAGTCTGAATGTGCGCACGTTTGTTTGTTTGTCTCTGTATGCCCTGCGATTGGCTGGCAACCGGTTCAGGGTGTCCCCCCGCCTACTGTCCGAAGACGCCTGGGATAGGCTCCAGCACAACCCGCGACTCTTGTGAGGATAAGCGGATTGGAAAATGCATGGATGGATGGATATATATCACATGCACACATTTTCTTGATAAGATGGTTGCTCTGTACAGCCTTTGCCATTGCCGAGAGAAATCTAACGGGAACATCACAATTTATCAACGCATCTTGACCAGCATCACAAACAGCAACAAAACTGAATAAATCAAGCGTGACGGGTTCTGCGCAAGGTAGTGGGAGTGGTAATTTAAATTCGTTTAGCGTCGTTAGAGTCACACTGATCGAGTCATCTTGTTTGAGCAAGCTGGACTTGGGCCCATGTTCACTGGGTGCACATTTACACAACCTGCCAATAGGCACAAGACAATTACGGTTATTGCGTGCAAGGTTCAGTGAAAGTTCCGTCATAATTTCAATAATATGTGAGGCTATCAGGAGTGTGGGCTGATTTGTTTATTCATGCACTTTATGAAAATGTGTTTTCATGTCTCACTTGATTCGTCTTTGCTTGATTTGTCTGACTGCTGACAGGTTTCCATGACTCTTTACATGGCTGCCCTCCTGCCTGCCTGCCTGCCTGCCTGCCTGTCTGTCTCCCTCTCTGTCTTTTTGCTTATCTGCAGGACTATTAAGTGTGTGCGTGTGTGTGCGTGTGTGTGCGTGTGCACTGAATGGATTTGCATGAGAGCCAGTGGGGTGACCCTGCTCTCTCACGCCAAGGCTACTGAGGAACAAATAGGACTAGTCGGATGTCGTGACAGCACTCACATCAGTTTAAATAAGAGTGCTGTGCTGCAGCCGTGTATGTGTGTGTGTGTGTGTTAAAGCAAGCATCCAGGCACGCATTTAGTCAAAAAAGCTTTATGAGGCTTTGAATGTGCCTGAGTGTGCCACTGTGTGTGCGTGTGACGTGTGTGTGTTCAACCAGTCAGCATGCAATATCTTTTGGAGGTTCGGTAGAGAAGAAGAGAGAGATATTAACAGTTTAATGAGCTCAGTGGCATTCACACGTACACACTCACACACGCACGCACGCACACACACATTCACATGCACACACGCACAGTGTGTGCGTGTGTGTGCGTGTGTGTGCGTGTGCACTGAATGGATTTGCATGAGAGCCAGTGGGGTGACCCTGCTCTCTCACGCCAAGGCTTCTGAGGAACAAATAGGACTAGTCGGATGTCGTGACAGCACTCACATCAGTTTAAATAAGAGTGCTGTGCTGCAGCCGTGTATGTGTGTGTGTGTGTGTTAAAGCAAGCATCCAGGCACGCATTTAGTCAAAAAAGCTTTATGAGGCTTTGAATGTGCCTGAGTGTGCCACTGTGTGTGCGTGTGACGTGTGTGTGTTCAACCAGTCAGCATGCAATATCTTTTGGAGGTTCGGTAGAGAAGAAGAGAGAGATATTAACAGTTTAATGAGCTCAGTGGCATTCACACGTACACACTCACACACGCACGCACGCACACACACATTCACATGCACACACGCACGCACGAAGTCATCCAAAGAGTAGAAGGAACAGGTTTGCTCTGTGAGACCAAGCAGCCCTTTGAATAAATGAATGCTGTCATGGGGTTAAACAGAGTTCACTTGCACACCACTGCAATATGAATGAGCCCAGACCACAACAATGACCGACACTTCGTCCTGGTTATGTTGCCTGGGAAGTCTCTCACACATATACCAGGTGACCTTAGGGATTGCTAATTACTTGTGGCGAATCAAATCGAGTTTATTAATTTTAGTCTCTAGACCTGAAAATGTTTTGTAATAGGATATGTGGGTTCATGGCACATACAGTAAGTGTGGTTGACAAAGTTTTATTTTAGGTGGTATCGCTTGTCAGCAAGCAGCAATGATCATAATGCAAAAGCTTGAGCACTTTATAGAAGCACACACACAGTTCCAAGTTAAGGCGTTCTCCCCCTTTGTTTGCATCGGGTTTCTCCGGTTGCTTCCTGTCACATTTCAAAAACCTGCATTTAAAATTTTGAAAGGCTCTCATTTGTCTAGAGATGTGAATGTGAGTCTGAATGCTTGTTTGTCTCTATGTGCCCTGTGATTGACCTGTGACAAATCAAGGACGTACCCCCCATAATTAGGTGACGTGCTAAAGAAAATGGATGGATGGATTAAATTAATTTGTATTATATTTTATCATTATATCTGCCCAAATGATAAACTCTATTATGAATCAAAACACAGTGTTTAAAGAAAAAACAAGTTTACTTCTTGCTCCACAATTCTCTGCCAATCAAGTGATGAAATGCAGCATAATAAGTCCTTCCCTAATGGGACGGGTACTCCAAAGAAAGGTAGTGACGTTACGAATCTGATATTTTGGGACCCTTTACAACGCCACAAACTGGAATGAACCATTGTGCTCGGTGTCAAATTACATTCTGGGAATTTTATTGATGGTGCTTCTGTGGACTCATTCAGGTAGTCTGGAATTAGGAAGTCCACACTGCCTGCGAGTCACCACACAGCCTGAGGTACAACGGTTGATAAACAACAAGAAAAATGTGCGTCACAGGGGCGGGACAAGGGAAGTGGCATGCGAGATGGGCGCGTGCGCAAATTGTACGCTGGGCAAGTTTTACTATATGTTGACTCACACAAGGTATTTTTGACTTGAGCCTTTCTTCAACCCCGAAGGTGTGGGGGAGCATCCTTTTGGCGGGTTCACTCTTGATAACTGGGTTGGCCGGAATTCTTGGAGGGTCGTCAGTGTCCCCAGCTGGAAATAAAAGGACGAAAGAAAAAAACGAGAGAGACAGAAAGAAAGAGAGAGAGAGAGAGAGAGAGAGAGAGAGAGAGAGAGAGAGAGAGAGATCATGTTGTATGTGCATGACTAGGAATGAGCTGGCTGTGAGACACAATTATGGCAGATTAGTGAAGCCACACTGAGAACCTGAGTCGGTGCCGTCTGGACCCGCAGACAATGATCTCCCGGATCACACCTCACACACACACACACACACACACACACACACACACACACACACACACACACACACACACACACACAGGAAGGATATTCACATGGTGAGAGACATGGTGAAGTGGAAAAAAAAATTGGTGACAACATTCACCCTTAGCTTGTAAATTCCAATCTGAGCTGTATGTGTTCAATCTGTCAGCACTCCCTGAATCGCCAGAATGATCATAAACTTCCATATGACGAATGCATGAGAGGAAACAATAACAAGACATGATGACCGGCGCAGTAAGCCAAGAATAGGGCACCTTTCATCGACGGTCACATTCCAGCACACAGAATGAGGGTCTGCTTGGGTGGTAAACCTCTATGTGAAAGCACAACACAATTGGCATGATTTTTGCTGATGCTCGACCTCAGGTCGACCATATCGTCATCAAATTTCAATATCTGCCTTCTGAATCGCCAGAATGATCATAAACTTCCATATGACGAATGCATGAGAGGAAACAATAACAAGACATGATGACCGGCGCAGTAAGCCAAGAATAGGGCACCTTTCATCGACGGTCACATTCCAGCACACAGAATGAGGGTCTGCTTGGGTGGTAAACCTCTATGTGAAAGCACAACACAATTGGCATGATTTTTGCTGATGCTCGACCTCGACCATATCGTCATCAAATTTCAATATCTGCCTTGTGGTTTACAAAAAAAAAAAAAGGCTGCACATATTACACAGAGTCCCAGTCATTTTTACATTGAAGATGAATTGACTTCTAGGACCTGCATACATGTGTGTTTTGTTTTCTTTGAAGCAATACGGTACTGAATTGTTTAAAATCTAAGGTGTCTTTCTTCAACTCCCTTTTATATGCATACAGGTTTCATTTTCAGTTGTTTGGCCAGAGCTTTGTATTCACTTTCTTTTTGACTCCAAGAAAGTCCACAATATCATCCGTCAAAAGTGCTGAATTTGAATAGTATTTACATACATGGGCAAGACGCAAATTATGGTAGCAAACAGCCTAACTTCACCTCAGATTGTACAATCCTTCACTACACACAGTCAAGTCAATGGATTTTAATATTTGTGTGGTGCATAGTTTGTTTTGCTGATTGCATAAAGCCACAGATGAAAAAGTGCAAGGTGAGGCAGACAGTACTCTGCCTCACTGAAGGGGGTGTACAACACAGTCTTGCAAATTTGATGGCAAATATGTCACTCCGTTCGGCTCATAAACATGGAAATCTGACTCTAATGTCAGTCCCTAAACCAGCAATGAACCTTGCTCTACGTCACTGACTGATGTTATAGTGTGGTGTGTGCCATCCAACTTCAACAATCTTACTACATGTGGCAATAAATCAAATCCAAAATCACATGCAAAAATATATTATAATGAAAGGTAGACATATTTTTTGCCAAAATAAACCTTTCAAATGTAGCCTCATATTTTCAGACCAATTTCTTGCTTGCAGATTATCGAGCCGTGTGTGCGTGCGTGCGTGCGTGTGTTTGCATGCATGTGTACGTGTGAAGGCAAGCTACACTTCAGTCTGTCATCTCAATCTGATCTCTATCACCCACGGCTGTCTGGATGAGGTTATCTCGCCACTGGACCACCCCTGATGAAGGAAAGGAGTGCACCACAGGAGTGTATTATGTCCTCTGTCATTCACTCATGTCTGCTTTATCTGTCATTCATCAACATTCATTAACACGTGTCCTGTTCTAGTTGTGCATGAACTCAAAGGGAGCTGTGGCTGAATTCTTACAAAATGCATTTTTTTCCCACATACCTTCGTATACAGAGGTGGCAAATCCAGATCCAGAAGGTGAAACTGCCACAATTTGGCTCTCGTCACAGGTGCTTGATTAGAAGCAAACAGGGAGTTCTTTTTTTCAGTTGATGTAGTACACAACCCCACAGTGTCATCCTAAGAAATGTTACACGTATTTTGGTGACCTTATTTAGCTACATGGCAAAAGTCTACTAGCTATTGTATCAGGCCAGAGTATAGTGTATTAGAATCATGTACATTATCAAATGAATACCTTGTTACTGGTGTCAATCAAAACGTTGCAGTATTGTCATTTTGCAGCTCCTCCCTGTCTCATTAGATTGCGCACCTGTAACTAATTTTGCAGGTACTCCACTCTACACAATGGATACCAACGTTCACATGTCAAGTGCTTTGTAGGCCTTATATGCAATAAAACGAAACAAAATAAAACAAATAAGAAAAACTTGTTTTCTAAAGTTTACAGCTAACAGAAAACGCATGAACCAAAACATGTCAACTCACCCTCATGAGGCCCACCCTTTGTAACAGTGTTGGTAGTTCCTTCCTCAATTCCAGGCTGTGAGATAAGGACTTTTTGTACAGTCATGTGAAGCGAGCGTGTCTCAATCTAGAAACACAGGCAGAGTGACCCAATTTACATTTTCAGAGGGTATATGCTGACTTATATAAATTTACAGTCTTTCAGTATTTTCCAGACACAAATACATGAACAGAGCTGAATTTATATATAATTACAGCCGGAGGAGGTAACCAAAACTGCTGTTGCAAACATTTTTGTTGTCATTTTCACTGTGGTGATCAATTTGGGAGATATATATATATATATATATATATATATA